ATATATATATATTACAATATATATATATATATACATGTATTCTTTCGAATTCCCACGACCGGTACTCCAGAGAGATGATGGTCCTATTCTCTCGATGGATGCAGGACTGCAGCGGCGACACTCTCCAACGCCATTGGCAAATATACAAATAATCCTCCTGGAGCACGACAGGAGAGATTGCATCAAGCATGACTCGAGCCCCCGAATAAGAAGGGAGGGTGTGCGTCACGGCGGGGCCCGACCACGAACCAGTCGTGAAAACTCGTAATTATTTTGCGAAAAAATACTTTCGAAACGATAGGGGACATCGTTGCGCAAAAAAATGCCCTCGTTGTCGCGCCTCACCTCCGTGCGTAAATCGTAATAGAGAAATAATTAGGTGCGAAGCGTGTAACTGTACGTTTTTCAGTAATTCTTGTTTCGAGCGTCATCGAGCGGAAAAATCATATAACGGGAAATCTCGCGCGAGCATGTAATTCCGTTAAAATTTATAGCGATTGCGGGCGATTTATACGTGCAAACACGGTATATAAATGCGACACGATCTTTTGTAAAATATGTCGTTCGTTACAACCGTCGAATCATCTATGTTTCATGCGCCCTCTTGCTCGTAAAGCTAGTGATCCCGGCGAAGGTACAAGTACCCTGATAATGCGAGCAGAAAAAAAGGTGTGTGAAAATGAAAATGATAACGTTGCGATGAACGAACAAACAAACGGTCGTGTCGCGTTTATATTTTACGATTTTGAAACGCGGCAAGACGAGACGCTCGTAGGTACCGAAAACGTGAGAATTCATGTACCGACTCTTTGCGTAATGCAATAAATTTGCGTAGCATGTGCAAACGAAGACGACATGACGGTGCGATGCCGATGGTGCGGAATGCGCGAGTTCGTATTCCGTCTCGACCCCGTGAAACAATTTGTCGATTTCGCAACGCGAACGACAAAATGTTTCAAACAAATTATTTGTATCGCGCATAATGCGAAAGCGTTTGATGCGCAATTTATCTTAAAATATTTAGTAGAAAATCCACCCATGAACCGCGCGTTATTTTGAACGGAACAAAATTCATCGTAATGACGGTCGGACATACGAAGTTTATCGATAGCATTAATTATCTGCCGATGCGTTTATCCGATTTACCTAAGGCCTTTGGTCTGAGCGATACGTCGAATAAAGGCTATTTCCCGCACTTATTTAATACTATCGATAACCAATCGTATATAGGATCAATTCCCGATGCTAGATATTATTCTCCAGATCACATGTCGCCGGAAGACCGCGAAAAGTTCCACGCATGGCACGCGAAAATGGTTCGTGAAAATTATATTTTTGACTTTCAACGCGAAATTATCAGATATT